AGCAGGAATTATGATGCAAAGTCTAAACACTTACATACTTGTTCTGTTTCCTTCTTCCCCAAACACTTTAACTCCTTATGGGATAGCACAAGGGAAACAACCAAGTATCAAAAAAAAAGCCTGACCACCAACCTTCACCTCTGGTTCAGCTACACTTCCAGGGTGCATTTAGCTTACTTTCCAGAAAGCAAAAGTTTAAAAACAAACAAACAAACAAAAAAGTACTGACAACATATCACCACTGTAACACTTCAACATCACAGCACATTAAACAGCTCTTGGCTAGATCCTCACAGACAGAATCAATATTTTAATTTGAATGTAGAGCTTTTCAATCATTTCTATGTTGGAGGTATCTGATTCTCTCAACTTATTTTCTTTTACATGTCACATGACAATAAATATAGTTTTGCTTGATACCAACTCTGTTTTATGCAGAATGTTCACATCCTGGGGACTAAAAGACACTATATAACTGTTAGGTATTATTATTTGTAGTCATTTACCGGGAGCATTAATAAAAAATATATTTCCTGAAAAGCGCGGAGATTAAATTAATTTAAACGTAAACATCCTTAGCGTCTTTTCCAACCTAAACGATTCTATGATTCCACATTTTAAGTGCACTAAAGCTCATATCCAATAGTTATGGAAGTCAATGGAAGGATTATTACTGTCTTCAATGGCCTTTGGACCAGACTGCAAAGCAAAACCACATAGTGAATGTGAGTGGTAATTTGGCTTATGCCTAAATAAACTAGAGCACACACAACTAAGACCAGACTTGTGCATCACAACCTGAACGAGCTCAGGTGTGTAGCGCAGTGTACTACCTGCATTTAAGACCTAAAGCATAACATTAATGTATTTCCTCAACAAATTCAGGGCTCTTGTGAGAAGCAGGGTACTCTTGAGAAGCCTGGATACCAGCAAGACAAACACAAAATCCAGACATAATTTCTGGTTGCTTTTTGCTACTTCCAGACCAGGGACAATTTCTACCTTCATATTCTGGATAACTGGCTGCTTTATAAAAGGAAACCTCTCTGTACATCTTATTTTGTGAACAGAATGTTGAATCACAATTTTGCCGCTATCAAGGAAATGCAGCATTTTCTGAGTATTCCAACGTATAAATTACACGTCTGGTTTGTAAGCTATTGCTAGTAGCGTTCCCCCTCATTCTAGGTTCTTGTTCATTTAGGAAATGTACACCTTCCTACATTTGTTTCTATTGCTTTCAAAAAAGATCTCTAATACAATCCTGTTGGAAGACTAATTTGCTAGCTAGCTATTGCATTATAGTTTTACAAAGAAAAGAACTAATACACTCAAACTTACAGGCCCAATTTACAAGGGTTTGTGAAAATTTGTATGAAACTTGAGGTTTCATAATTCATTCACTTTCTCATGCCTCCTATTTTAAATAACCTCCATGGATTAGAAGCCGAGATCTTTTTTGTGCTAAGCTTGAAGAGCGTGGAGGGGCTTTACCTGAAAAAGATAAATGATTTGACATTCACCAAAAGCTCCCCAATGGAAATGCTGCCCATTGGGTTCTCTTTCTCAAGATGAACTCTGAGGCAATTCCTTTGAAAACTAATAAAAATACTCCTACTGTTTTCTCCAAAATACTCATCTCTGAAACTCTTTACTAATTCAAAACATTAAATATCAACAATTCAGTACTAAAATTGCAGCTTCTCTCAGGAAAACTCTGACATTGCTTTTTCAAATACCTCTTGTCATAACACTGCAGGCTCTTCTCTGATCACTTTTGCAAAATAAAGCACTAGCTGGTTGCACCAGATTTGGAAGGCAAGACCTGCAACCTACATTTTCAGTAACTTGCATTAAAGGGCAACACAGCCCTTGCTGCCCAGTCTTCCCAAAATAATGCTGGATGTCATCACATCATCAAAAGTATTTTTTCCCCACATGAGACAAAGAACACTTTTATCTTTTAAGAAGCATGTACAAATGTATTTTATACACCCAGAGAAATAAATCTCTTTTCATGTATGTGTACACATACACATACTACAAAGAACCAATGCAGAAACATGCGCTTGTCCAAAACTATAGTGATCACCTACATTTTATTTCACAGAGGGATAGAAAGAAAGATGCTCTAACAGCTAGAGCAAAGAGATGTTAGATGGAGGCAGATACTCCAGTCTTGTTTAATATCTTTATCAACGATCTGGATGAAGGGATTGAGCGCCCCATCAGTAACTTTGCAGATGACACCAAACTGGGTGGGAGTGTCAATCTGCTCGAGGGTAGGAAGGCCCTGCCCAGGGATCTGGACAGGCTGGATTGATGAGCTGAGGTCAATTGTATGAGGTTCAACAAGGCCAAATGCCAGGTCCTGCACTTGGGTCACAATAACCGCATGCAACGCTACAGGCTTGGGGAAGAGTGGCTGGAAAGCTGCCTGGTGTAAAAGGACCTCAGGGTTTTGGTTGACAGCCAGGTGAACATGAACCAGCAGTGTGCCCAGGTGGCCAAGAAGGCCAACAGCATCCTGGCTTGTATCAGGAATAGTGTGGCTCTCTACATCTATCTACATCTATCGCTCTCTACAACTACCTGAAAGGAGGTTGTAGTGAGGTGGGTGTTGGTCTCTTCTCCCAAGTAACAAGTGATAGGACGAGAGGAAATGGCCTCAAGCTGCATCAGGGGAGGTTTAGATTGGATATTAGGAAAAATTTCTTTACTGAAAGAGTAGTCAAGCATTGGAACAGGCTGGCCAGAAAGGCGGTGGAGTCACCACCCCTGGAAGTGTTCAAGAAACGGGTAGACGTGGCACTTTGGGACATGGTTTAGTGGGCATGGTGGTATTGGGTTGATGATTGGAATGATGATCTTAGAGATCCTTTCCAACCTTAATGATGCCTAGTTTTTACTGTCATTAAAAAATAATCCACCCACCAAGCCAGAAAACACGAAATTATTACTCTACCCTTAATTGGTTTAGTGTGGACTTGGTAGTGTAGGTTAATGGTTGGACTGGATGATCTTAAAGGTCTTTTCCAACCTAAACGATTCTATGATTCTACATGATACACAACGGCAGTAAGCTCCATAAGAAAATTTAGCCTCCTTTCTTTCACCAACTTTAGAGCGGTTTTAAAACTGCCAGTTGTTCAGTCTTTAAAACATCTAAACAGCAGTGGTGGTGGTATTCCCTACCCCAACACTCCCTTCCCTGGGTTACTGTTGAAGCAAATGAGGAAGGAATGATAAGCGAGTAAGGGCACCAGGTGTGGGAATAAAAGAAAGGAAGAGACGTTTTCCATTTCCTGAGACCTGATATTCCCAAACTTCCCTTTGTCACTGTAGTCTCCACCTTACCTCCCACCCCTAGATCTTTCAGAAACATACCAACCATCCCTTGAGCTGATGTTCATTAGTAGAGCTAGCCCAGCTGAGGACACGGACCTTGGCCCATCACAAGCCACAACAGTTGACTTTGCCGGGCAGGGTTTTATCTCATTCTGTTCCCACTGAGAGCAACCAGAAGAGACAAGATGGGTGCAGCTTGTTGTGTGCACCAGGTCTTGAGTCTCATCCACACAGAAACATCTGTTCATCTCAAAATGGAAAAGGAATTCAAACTGAACGTGCAGCACATTTGTTCTCACCTCATGGCCTTTTCATTTTATTTTAGAATAAACATGAACAAAACCCTGAATTTAGTTTTGCACTTGCTTAAGAATACAAGTCATTACACAGCCACTAAGAGTTGGATCCAGCTTTCATTAGTTCCTAGGAAACTGTACTGTGGCTGGTTCTTAGCAATGCTGAACTTACAAAGGAAATACCAGTCTATCACTTTGTCCTTTTTTTTCCCCCTATAGCGTAAAATGTAAGCAAGACCCAGCTTTCCTATTCAGTCTTAGTTCTCTTCGTTTTGCAAATTTAAGACAGATGTAACTATTTTTGCATGCCATTTCCTCTTATCTTTTGCAATTTATAATTACAATGCTTTTTTTGGATAGTAATACATTAGGTTTTGCTCAGTCCCACAGATCTCACAAACTTCTCTGCCAAGCAGGTGAAAAGCAATTAAAACCAAAAATCCTGCTCAGGAAAATCACCAGGATAATTTTTTGCTTTTTAGTTGTTCAGTTTTTGACAAAACACATGCTCTGTGTATACTTGGTGCAAATACATGCACACTAAACAGATGTAAAATCAGGTATTGTCATACAATAGATATTGGGGGGGCATGCTTTTAGTTCCTGACACAAAATTTTGCAGTGATTTGCATATTGGTCTACCTACTGAAATCCAAATGACTGCTTACATGAACAAAAATGTCTGCATGACCTGCAGGAAGTCTCAACAAAATCAGTTCATAGTAAGTTATTATTGCCATAAAAAAAGGTGCTAAAATGCGGTCCAATGCAGAAATAGGCCGTTGATTAGGTTCTTAAAAACAAAACACAAAGACCCCCAAAATAAACTGTCCTAGCACATAGTCCTTATTCGGCTGAATAAGTCTCTGTCATTGATGAGTGGAAAGCACCTCACTCAAAAGAGAGAAGCAGCAATATGTTTTATTGAAGTAAAATAATAATTTGACAAGGTCCAATAAGTTTGATGGCAAAGTTCACCTTATTAATTACTGCATGGGAGAAACGTAACAAAGGAAAATTGAGTTAGAATCAAGTTAGAATGATTCACACAGAAACTGGAGACACGGAGTAAGGAGGAGCCTCCCACTGAATCAACGGGTTCAGAGTGGACCCCCTTGCCTTCTAAACTCCTTTTGGAGCCTAGCTGCAGCTGGATCCAGTCTTAGTCTCAGACTTGGTCAACGGTTTATGTCTAATGGAATTATCCATACAATATTTACAATAATATTGAGCAGCTACATAGATTAGTAATGTTTCATTAGTATTAGTTCAGCATGCTATCAGTCACTTACTGAGGATCTGTCACAGGTAGGGGATCTCTCCACTTTGGGTAAGGAAGGATCTCTTAGTCTCAGGTGAGGAATCTCTACCCTTGAGAGGCATCCCTGCTCAAGGGGAGAGTCACCTGGTGTGCAGTCCAGCTGCAGTTCAGGGAGAGCTCAAATTGGGCCCATCCTGAGGTAATATTTATAGGGTGAAGTAGTTGGCTGCTAGTCAATAGTACAGACAAGATAGATGTCTTCATTTTAGCTCTGGTATCTTGTTCTGTATTTTGGTTATCTTGCTCTTTTGGGTTTCAAAACCAGCTTTCGAAATATTTTTCAAGACACCTTCACTCCCTTGTACATGAGCCAGGGGCTTTCCAGCTCCCAAGTTCACCCCAAGGACGTGAGGCCTATTGTTCCTTAGTGAGCCTGAACCAAAGTACAGCTAGGAGTCAAGTGTATTCGTCACGCTCTCACAGTCTATAATTATCAGACACCATTTGATAACAATGCCAGTCTTTCCTCCCCCTTTTTGGGCAATTTTCAAAGAGCCCTCATCCTCCCTACAGCTGGTAACAATGTAAAATGGAAAGATGAAGTGGTGGCCTTTCAATGGATGTCACTGATTGGGAGGAGAAAAAGATATGGAAATCTACATTCTGATGAATTCTTCAGGGAATATCTTACTGAAAATCAAAGCAGCAGAAATCATAAAGGGGGACATCCCTTGGTGATGAAAATCTCAGGCAGCAAAGCTCCTCAGAGAGAATAAGACTTGTCACAAGTCTCTTTCATACACTTGTTATGCTCCCCAAAGATTCAGACAGTCTCCCAAAAGACTTCTTTGGATGGTTATGATTGTAGAAGAAAGCTTATGGACTCATTATCTATAGAGAGGACATTGGTTTTAACAACTCGGGTATATTTTCTTCTTAAAAATAAAAGGACTAAGTGCTAGCTTTGTAGGTATGAACCCACTTGTAGAGATATCAGCTGCACATACTTCTATTGCAGGACTTTGCTGTGTGTTTAGAGGAAGAAATCTTGAACTGGACTGTAACCAAAATTCCTGATTCTGTCAATGCTAGCATGCAATGCTGGGCAGAGCATTCAGTTTGCTCTGCTCCCATACACTGATTTGGGTAGTGAGTGCATACAAGAGAATAAGTACCAAGGCAGATGCGACACTTTCATTTCTTACAGGTGATGAGATGCTATAATTTTTTTTTTTTTTTTTCCTAAATGCATGCAGGTAAAAGACATTCTGAAAATGTAAAGCATAACAATGCAATTTACCTTGTAGGGTTCCCCAAAGAGGTTAAAACCTGAAGCAAAGAGATCTTCATCTTGCTGGACTTCCTGGTTTCTTCTCTCCCATTCTTTCCGCTTAAGTGCACTCCGGTCTTGCTCATAGTGACTGAAGAAGAGAAAGACAAAAAAAGACAACACATTATTTTCCCGATAGTTTAGTTACATGTTCATTACTATCAGCAAGAGCAGCAAAACGTCGGAAACAATGCAATTCCTGAGGACAATTCTGAAAGAAAGAAGCAGCCACTGAATAGTTTTCCCAAATGTAAATTTGAAATCATAATACTATATGAAATTGGGCAATAGGACAGTCAGTACACTTCTAAAATGAAAACCGACAAAAATGTTTTCAAATTAACACAGCATTATGCAGAAGAATAAAATACATTTTGACGCATTTGTATGAACAGTCTGCAAATACATGTGCATGCGCGCGCACACGCACAAATGCACACACGTGTGCCCACAAAGAATATGCCTGTGCAGAGAAAGCAAATGTGAAGTCAAGGAAGCACAGCAATATCTTCAAATCCATTTAACTGTGTAACACTTGTCTTCATCCATCCCAATGCTCCAGTTCAGCTTCCTGTGATTTAGACCACCTAATTCTGTCCCATGTACTTGTTAAAATTTATGTACGGCTTCACTGTGGGCATCGAGGGTGTTTTAAAAAGTGTTTCTGTAGCAGGCTCCCGGAAGAGACTTTAGGATAGTTGATACCAGTATCAGATAATTCTGCACATAAACAAACAAACAGAAAAGGACCTAGCGCCTCAGTGTAGCAATGGTGAGCGGCACTTATCTGTATGTCAGCTTACTCTGTGCACCTGCCAGACCTAGATGACAAGCTGAGAGACCACATTCACTTCTCCCCTGAACAGCACTGAATTACTTTGGTCTCTTGGCTTTGCAAACTACCTCCTGCTCCTCTGAGGGAAAAGATATAATTAAAACCCTGAAGGAGGGGGAAAAATAGGAAAGGGAAGAGGAAAGGAAAAGATGCATGCTTCAACTTGCACTGACAACCTCTCATGTGACAAGCATTAAGGGACACTTCTGTGCTTTCAACTCATATTTGATTTGTTATGAGGCTTTTGGCTCTGCTTTGTGTCAGTTAATTAGCTACCAAATTCCAGATGACAATTTGAATAGCAGATTCAGTATATGCACTGATGTTATCTGTTGTAAGCAGTATCTCCCTGATAGATTCTGGACATGCATGCACACATCCATGCACACCCTCTATGTACAAATGCAAACATACGTATTACACATGTAACAAAGAACAGTTAATTCTCCTGTCTCTGGCAAGAATGAATTAAATCTCCATAGAGCTCCACTGCACTTGGAAGATAACCAAATATCTACAACTTTTGCCTTTTTAGCTCAGCATGATGTTGTATTGAAAGCTTCACACCGAGAGATATAATGAGGAATGAACTGCACAGTGATGAGGCTTTAACAGTGTATAAAGTCACTGATTTCTGAGTGAAACCACAATTACTAATTTGAAGCACCAGCTAATTAAAACCACAGCTATGTATTTAGCCTCTTGTTATACCTACTGCAGTTTATAATTATGAGGACCTCTTTATCTACTCAATTAAAGTTCTTATGATTCAGGCAGGTTGTGTTTGAACCTGCAAGCCCTGCAGAGAGCACAGGAAAGCATATGTCTGTTGCCTGATGACTCCATGTATCCTTATACTCACATTCTTGTTTTTGTACAGGAAAGGAAAGAAAAAAAGAAAGACTAATGCCACAATGAGATCCCTAAATAAAAAATACGAATTAATAATTGGTTTAAGCAATTCAAGATCACTCAGGCTTGGATTGAATAAGGCTTGAGTACGGCTTGTAAACAGAATGCAAAACCACCTACACAGGCTGAGCTGAATGATTTCCATCCACATTTTCCTTTTACAAGTTAGAAGGCTGAAAAGATGCCACATTTTATTTATTTATTTATAACACCTTCTGATGTAGTGACGTCACTGGCACCAACATCAAGCTCCAGAACACTGTTATAATCATTCTTGGTATTTTTGCAGAAGCTATAGTACTATTTTCTGGTTTCCTGAGGGAGACAGAAGGGAAACTGTTGTAAGCACCAGTCACTTTACGATACTATATGTGATCATATTGCTGACACAATACTGCAAACCACAAGCGACCTGTTCACTAAAAGGTGAAGGGGGGCACAAGTCTCCTTTCCTTTCATGTCCTAAATCAAGATTAAAATCCACAGCTATGGGAACAAGCGTGTACAAGCTGTTTCCCAAATTCGTACACTAAGATGAGGACAAGGTCGACTCCATCTCTCCCCACAACTCTTCCGGAGTAGGGGGTAGTAGTAGTTCAGCCCAGGAATAATCCAGCCCCAGAGCAGTAGGAACACACTGTATTCACCCCTCGCATGGGAGATCTGCCTAGAGATTTCTTTGGCAGTTTGGCCCATACATTGCGTGACTCTTGCAGCAAGATCAGATCATTATGAAGTTATGAGCCCAGTCTCGACACCAGCAGAGTGGATCCAGTGTAAGCAGGATTTTATATCCTACATAAGTAATCTTTGCTTATGGGAGCAGTCCTATCCCAGGCACGGCCGGCATTCACTTCAGAAAGAATTATTCATGAAAGTTAGAGCTGTGTTTTACAGCTTCCCAATGGCAACCTTGGCCTCGAGTTTCAGGGTGAAATCCTGGGCCCACTGAAATCAAACGGAATCTGCCCACTGAACACACAGATCACAGAATCACAGATTACAGCACAGAACAGATCTCACCCTTCGTGTGAGGTTCCAGCACTTCGTTATCTAAAAGCTAGCTCTGGTCTCCAGCATGTAAAGTATTTAGGGAACCAAGTGAGGCATTATGGCATATCCTATCCGAGAAAAAGCAGCATAGGCTCTAAGACTATTTAGATATGTTTTGTGACACATTACAAAACCACAAATCCAAAAATCATGAAAACAGCAGTAATTCAAAATGGCATAATCACTTTAAAAGACATTAACTTAAGCTAAGACAGTATTTACAATGTCAACAGCAAGAGGTTGAAAAAACCCAGTGTTTTCCAACACAACGTACTGAAGTATTTCTCTTTTAGTGTGCGGGTTTATGATGTCTATTAAGATATCTATTCCACACACCCAAGGGGTGAGCACAAAGGCGCGTCTCAGGCCCCGGACCCCAACAATGTTTGCAGACTACCAAACTGTAAGCATCCATTTTACAACACAAGCAAAGCCCTAAGTGAATTGCTACCTTTGCATCAATCCAAATCTCTCATATATTCTCTTGTTAGAACAACAACAAAAAAAAAAGTTAAAGGTTCATTCTGAACTTTCCACTCAGAGAGTCACATCCCAGCCTTAAGTGTACAAAGTATCTGTTCAAAAGGAAGTGGTTGCTCATCCTGTCAGGTCAGTTACTTGGCTTATTTCTCTGCAAATGTACTTTTGCCATGGGAATGCTTGACAGGGCGCTGATTGTGGCTGAGGAAAGTCAAACATTATAAGATCATACACAGATTAGCGTAACAACTTCTTTGGGTTCCTTTGTAATCCAAAGAGGGATGCTGATTAGATCTTAAGGCTGGAGTGCACTGAGAACCTAATGGGATGCTCTCCAGAAACTCTTAATGCGGCCACAATGCAGTCTCTGGGACTTATGTTTAATATTTAGCTTAACTAATGTTCTGTGAAATACAGATATGTGATTAGTGGTGAAGGTGCCAGTGAAAACTATAGTAAGATACCGTGAGGAACACCAGAGTTCAGTCTGTCTCACTAGTATGAGAAATACTTCATGACTGCTCTAAAGCCAGGAGAGTAGGAAATCACAAATACAGACTTTTGCAAACATTTTAAAAAAAAAGATATTTAGAAGAAAGTAGCTGCAGGCCACAATACTCACTGTATCCGAGAGGGCCAGTTTCCTAGACACAGCTATTACGTGACAATGTAGTTTAAATACATGAGCTTTATTGTTTTGTTACCACTTATTAGATTAATAATTGAATTTGAATGGGGAAGTCTGTACATAAATCTGAGAAGATCAGGAATGGTGAGCAGTAAGAATGCTACATGAGCGCGTGAGACCACTGGTCTACAAATTACCATCGTGCTGGATATGGCAGAAAGAACATTAACCATAACCGCACTATTGTTTTGGTATGTTTACCATAGAGGCAGGCTGCAAATGCATTTCGAATAACAGCATTTGATAATGAATCCTTTAAAATCAGACCAGCATACATCCATTTGTCACCCTTCTCAGCTACGGACACCCTAAGGGACAGCGGTGAGCTGAGGCACCGTGACAGGCCAGGTGCTCCCCCGTATGAATCCGCAGGCTGTCAGCGAGCCCACGGAGCTGCACGCTTCACCCCTGCTGTGGCAACGACGGCTGCGGGGACCATGCGGATCAAGCAGAGGATGGAAGCGCAGAAGATGGCTGAGGCAGGAGGAGGTTATACCAAGGCAAAAGATAACAGGCATGCATGTAGTTTTGGATTGGAAGCTAAAAACGCGGATCTGGTAGTAAGAGATGGAAGTCACATACGCACTGTCTACAAAAAGGAGAACTAGAAGAATAAAATTTGGGGCATTGGAAAGGACAGTGCAATCGTGTGGTGAAAGTGAGAGAACGTGGTGCAAAAGATCTGGAGGGAAAAGAAAAAACCTTTTAGAACAGACTGCAACAGAGCAAGAGGTTAGAGGGAAGAGTTAAAGGAAATCTGAAGAAATAAGACCAACAGCTAAAGGCCGAGACCTAGCATTCGGGGTTTATCTGAAGCCACAGAAGCAGCCTCCCAAAGCGCAGAAGGCTAGGCAGGGCAGACAAGAGCCTGAAAGACAGGAGAAAGAGTAGAAGAAAGTCAGACCAGACAAGTTTGAAGGAGTAGACACCGTGATATGAAGAAAAAGTAGAAGAGAAAAAAAAAATGATCAAACACCTAATGTTGCAGAAGAATCACGAATGAGAACAGAGCACTGCTCTGTTGATTCAGTCAAAACAACAAAAGCCCAATAGGGAAAAAATCAATAAAAAAAGCTGGAGCAGAGAGGCTTTATGGTAGCGACAGCCTACGTCCACAAGGACA